CGTATGTCAATACGATTAGAACAATAAGGCCGAAGAAAGTTTCTAGAAAGGGAAATAAGTGATTCAAAGCCTCAAAGCATAGGAAGCTGATCCCAATTTGTGGTTCGTTGAATTCCGCATCATCCCATCCCAGGGTTATCGATATACAACCACAGAAAGTCGTCTCTATGGCCCCCAATTACCTCTTTCTTACCACTTTCCTACTTTGTATTACTTCCTCTCAACGTCAAAGAACTTCGACAAGATACAAAAAGAACGAAAAACATACAACAGAAGGGATTCGCTGGTGGTCACCCACCCAACTACTAACCTCCCGGCGTGTGGCTTAAGTACGGCTGAGCGGACGGGAAGCCCTGTTTTCCACACCCTATGGTCGTATGTGCTTGAATCAAGTGTTCGAGGCTTGATAAGCTTCAATACTGAACTAAAAAGACACTTGACGGGTCACTCATCCAAGTGGGTCGGGGTGAAGGTGTTCGGTATCAGAGATAAGCAGGTACGGACATGCTAATCCCCAACTAGATGTAGATGTACATATTTAATAATACTCTGAACTTTTGAAATGTTGAACAACAAATCATGGTTTTTTTTTTTTTTTTTTTTTTTTTTTTTTTTTTTATAAAGGTAGGACGCGTGAAAACTAGCTAAAGATCGAGACCACTGGTGGGATTGATTGACTGGCCCGGTCTAGACCTGGATTCTTGATATGACTCTATTGACTATGCAATAATCAATACTTCAGATCAAACCCTGAACTACTTCATAGTAGGCTACATTGTGTGGAGTAGCTATTCAAGAAAACCACCAAGTCAAGGAAAAGTTCGCAGTCTGCCTGTTGTAAAAGCACCTACTTTGTCCATCCACTCCATCCTCTCCACTTTACATCCATCAGCAGACGCCGCGGCTACACACTACCCCCACATCCAAACCCCCAAACCAGTCACAACCCCCATCACCGCCTCAAAAGGCACGACCCGTTTCCACGCCTCCTCGCCCGTCCGATAAAACACCACCGCAGCCAAAAGCCTGGTCGGTACCGTAGCCATCATCATCGGGATGTTATTCTGATAGGCGACGAGAGCGTAGAAAGTACCCAGTGTCAAGGATGAAAGACTTTTGCTTGATTAGAGAGAAATATACTAACAGATCTTCAATATATACATTACCTACCTCATCGCCTGAATAGTCCCTATGCTGACGCCCCGTAGAGGCAGGTATGGTGATTGCGCAGCGGAAGCGGGAAAAAGGAGGGTGTAGAGGCCGCTGCCGAGGAGGGGGAGGGATTGGAGGGCGAAGAGGTATTGGGGAATTTGGGAAGACATGGTATTTTTGTAGGTGTCTTGGACTGGGGTTTGAGTTTGTAGGTGCTGTGAGGTGGTGTTTCTGGTAGATGGGTGAGATGTGGTGAGATTGAGGTTTCTGTCCGTCAGCATCCGCGCCACTGTTGTTTGATTAAGGCTGGAGACCCCACCACGGGTGGCTTGATCCCTTGCGGGATGCCAAATGAGCAGAAAGTAAGGTTATTCTGGGAAGCTGTGCGATGGGATCTAGGCATGTTTTGATGTGAAGGGATATGGTATAAGTTTAGAGAGACCGGTGAGGTCCCTAGGATGAGACGTTTGGGAAGAATATTATGGTCTAGGATGATGTTGTTGGGGCAACAAATTGGTATCATAAGAAGATTAATGTGGCAAAATACTATTCCATTGTGAATAACGACGCGATTTCAACTGCGCTAAAAGCAATCGAGCAGACAACCGAAGAAAGGATACCAGTCCAGCCAGTGCAGATCACCACATCACTTAAGGCGTGGGTATTAAAGAACTCTTCATTCAACGTAAGACAACGCTCACAGAAAGTCACGAATCCCCATCTAATCCAGGAACATCAGCTGACCATTCTGATTCGTAATCCTCTCATCCAGACGAATCCAGGTGCGATTCCATCCATCATTACCATCCGCCAACTCCGCCTCCAGCACACGGCCCCCATCAACCAAGCGAACATTTCTAGCAGACGCCGCAAAATTTCCGTTCCGCTCCCACGCAAACTTTCCCCAGTGATTAGCCAACACACTGTTCAGCGGAAGTACTGAGAGCTGCAGCTCTCCGGACACCCGTCCACAAGCCGCCACCAGATCGTGGTGACTCTCGAGGCGGATATCCCGAGCCGAAGCGGAGAAGTTTCCGCGCAGAGGCGCGCCGTGATGGGGAGGAGGTCTGTGGTGGTGCTGGTGCTGCTGCTGAGACATCCTGTATTGTTCTTCCCTACGACGCTGTTCTTCCATTCTGCAACGCTCCTCCTCGCGACGACGTTCTTCTTCCTCGTGCTCTTTCTTCTCCTTGTGCTTCTTCACTGCATCTTCGGCCACGGATCCCATCATAGCTCCACCGATGGTACCGAGAAAGCCGTGGTTGACTTTGTGTCCTGCGAAGCCGCCAGCTGCACCACCTGCCAGGGCGCCCATGATACCCTTCTCGCCTTCGCCGGCGGCGGCGGGGTCGGTGGACGACTCGGGAGAGTACGGAGGGGGTTGCTGGTGGGAGGAGTAGCCTTCGTGCTGAGGGTAAGGCGGGTAGGGTCTCGACTCCGAGGGAGGCTGGCCGTATTGTGAAGGCTGCTCGTACTGTGGGTAAGGTGGGCGTCCACCGTAAGATGAGTATTCAGGGTTCTGGTAGCCGGGCTGAGGGGACGGATGCTGGTACGGGCTGTAAGGTCTGGTGTAGCATCCAGCGCCCTGAGGGGGATAAGGAGAAGAGGCGCCGTATCGGTCATGGCCGTTCTCGACGGAGGGGGGATACGAGCCGTATCCGGTGGAGCTGGGAGTGTCGACGGCCGGGGATGACCAGGGAGAGGGGTTCTGCTGACGACGATCAGGGTTGGCGGGGGTGGCACTGCTGCCACCGAAGTACTCTTGAGCTGCCATCGTGAGGTCTAACTGTGTTTTAGGCGGCAAGAGAGTATGAGGGGATGTATTAGAGATGCTGAGTGAAGGATGAGAGAAAAGCAAAGAATTGATGAAGGAAGAGGAGTGTTGACTTCTTAAGCGGGAAAGCTGTGGCTGTGCGGGGTTGGGGGAGGGGCTGCCTGAGACCCCGCTAACCTGGCCCAGTAAGCGCGAGTCAGGCACCAAGTGGCGCAGTCAAAGGGCGGCTCATTGATTGGTGGAGAGGAGAACTCTGATGGTTGTTCCATGAGCGGGACTCACTTAGGGCTGACAGGAATGTTTGCACAGCCCCACTGCTTCTCTGCCTCAGTGCCTACAAGCTCTTCACGGCGCTTCGCGGGCTCACTTTCCCCTGAAACATACAGGAAGCTAAGTAGAGATAAGACTTTTCGCTTAAATTAGCTGATGTGAGAAGTGTGTATACACTATAATGTATGCCGTCATAGGTAACTGATGCTTGTATGGACACCGAAAGTTGATTTCATTGCTGCCTATGACCGGATGTGGGGGCTGAATTCTGGGCAAGGGTCTTCGACAATGAATTTTTTACTCATTACTTGGCTTTCCCAGATGTATGGCTTTCTCTGTCTTTCACCGACTTGAGACAGGTCAGATCGATCTGCTTCCCACTGCACCCAAATCAACTCCCTCCTTCATTACGACAGGGCTGACTAGACTCTCGACTAAAACTAATATCACATGCCCCATGTGACTCAGTTAAACTCAAGTAAAAGCCTATCCCTACACTGTGTTAATCGTCCGAAAATCTCAACATTCACTATCACGTCATGAGACATCATGAATTAACACAGTCATAAGCGAACATTCATTCACAGCCTAGACAGCAGTTGAAAGAAAGCCTAGCCAAGGCATGGATGGCCACAAGCGAGAAACCGAAACACACGGAGCGCACTCTCATTTTCATGAACTCATAAGGGACTTCGAACGGTCCACTCCAAAGCTTGGGTGGAGCGAACACCCTGTTTTCCCTTTCAGGCATAGTTTCGGGGCCGTGGTCCACCGTCAACAGCTGCACCGCCACCGCACATTGATCAGCATTAACGCATGGTTCAATCGATGGTCTGGTAGATGACACCATTTGTGAATGACGGGAACAGGGAAGGGAAAGCTTGTCTGTTCTAGGCCTTGCTGTATAGCATGCGCCTCATGCTCAAGCAGACCATTCAACCATAGCCATACGAATGGTATTCATAATAATACTGACTTCGATCACCATGATCACAATTAACAATCGCCTCCGATTAAAGTATACACGTTATCTAATATACAAGAATATATACAGCCATCACCCCCGAACTATATAAAACCCATTCACGGCAATCTGCTTATCCCTTGCCTCATCCGTCGGAGCCCTAACCCCGATCCAATGCAAGGGAACCTTCTCCGCTAGCTTCTGTCCCCGATACTTGACGTTCTCCACACCTTCTCTAGTTCTATCCATCCAGCCTCCACTTCCACTTCCATTTGCTCCATTAGCGCCTATACCTCGCGTCCCCGAGAAGGACCTATCTGCTGCCCAAGCAGGATGTTCGAGAATGCTCTGCGCATACGACACATCGTATGCATCAGCTAACATGGCTGCCTCAGCAGCCGCCTCGCGAGCAGCTATGAGATCCTTTTCTGTCTGGCCTCGGGGCGGAGGTACATCCGGACGGAGAAAACCCATGATCCGAATCTGAAGCTTGGTTTGAGCTCGTACCGGCACAGCAGGTTCGTCGATGAAGCGGACAGTCGTGACCTTCTGCATAGCGCGCGAGAGATTGACGCGTTCCTGTTGTATCGGATCAAAGTATACAATCGAAAACACGACGCCCTGCCACGTTCCTGAGGCTGAACCAGGCCCTCTCTCCGCTGTCGCCTCAACACCCTCAACTCTCGCCCACCCAAAGAAAAACCCCCGGTACCGATCCAGCACCATATCAGGTACCTTACCAACCCTGAACCGAAGCCCATCACTATCCCCGGCCTCCACTCTCGCTGTAAGGTCCACAGGGAACGGTGCCTTCGGCCCCTCCTCCAGCGCAAGCTGATACCCCGCCTGCACATCCCTCAACCCATTCCCACTCCCACTTCCTCCCCCATCATCATCATCCCCACCAACCCCCAACACCGACCCAACCCGATCCCCGACCCCACTAACCGAAACCGCCGTCTCCGCCGCCGTTTGCGTCACCCAACTCGGCTGATACGGTTGCACTTTACTCTGCACCGCGGCCGTAACCGGCGCCACGACCGCCTCAGCAGCAGTCTGAACATACATCCCCAGCACCATAGCCCCGACCTCCAACGGCATAGTCGACAAACTAGCCCCCCTACAAGAACTAGGACTCAAACTGGTCGACAAAACCCGAAACACCGGACTATAGCACATAACCTTCCTCCTATTCTCTCCATCCCCACAAAGCACAAGCTGGAAATACCTATCCCCGGCCTCAACAGGGATCCTCACCACCATCGTCTCGCGCAGCACATGCTGTCTCTCGCGGCCCGTCGCCTTCTTGCAAAACTTGCTGATGTCGCGCTGCCACGCGCGCTCGTCGACCGGGTCGACTTGCTTCACGTGCACGGGGAGCGTCGGCGTAACGTTTAGCCAGGAGTCGGTGAGGCCGAGGAATGCTTTGGTTTTCATGCCGGTTTTGCCGCTCCAGCCTTTGCTTTGGAGGTAGAGTGTGCGGGTTGGTGGGAGGGGCGTGTCGGAGAAGATGGAGATGGTGACGGAGGTAGTGCTGCCGCGGTAGAAGACGATGCCGGAAGAGTGTCGCAGGATGGTGGTGTGTTTTGTGCTGCTTGTGGGGTGCGTTATAAGGCCGCCGAGGAAGTGTGTGGCTTCGTTGTAGGCCTTTTGGGCGGTGGAGGGGCCTGTCGCTGTTGGATTTGGGGTTGTTGCGGAGCGAGGAGGGGGTGGTGGTGGTGGGAGGGGAGAAGGGGTACGACTCGGATAGGATGGCTCATTGTGGGTGGTTGCGGAGCGGACAGGGAGGGGTGGTGTGTAGGGTGGTGGAGGGCGATGAGGACGTGGTGATAGTGGTTGTTGGTGGACTTGGAGTTGCTGCTTGGAGGATATGCATGGCTGTGGCGGTGGTGTTGGTGAAGGCGATACCGTTATGACGCCGCGGATGGTGCCGTCCGGGGAGGTGGTCTGGGGTAGGGGTTTGCGCTTTATTCCTGTGTTGGTGTACATGGTGTGGTGCACCACTGGAAAATTGGGGTTATCTGGTAATCATTATGTTTCAGTGGGAATGGTCAGGAGAAAAATCCCCTGGACCCCTATTGCGATGGTCTGGATCGAGTGATGATGTCGATCGGATGCCGCGGATGTGATGAGTCAGCAGGCGATAAGATAAGATGGTTTGACAGGTGGGGATCAGTAGTCTGCAAGAAACTGTTAAGGACTTACCTATGGCATTGTTGGATGTATTGAAGCATAGATAAATAGAGTGTGCATCGTTTTGCTAAGCCATTATTTAGTTCAGCATCTGTGTAGTGGTGTTGCGTAATAGTAAGATTCAGTTGTAATCTCCCCACCATGTGGAGGTTACATCAAACGGAAAGTATATTCCGCTGCGGCAAAGACATAAAAGGAACTTCTGCAACCAGCAACACGAAAACCGTAACCATCAGCTTTACCC